AAAAGAAAGAAAAATTTTACATTTTTTCGCCTGTAGGAAAAATATTGTACCTAACACTTGCGGAAAAATTCATTTTCCGCACTTGTTAGGTAAATAGCTATTGTTCCTGTTTTTTGGCAATTCCCTGCTTAACCGGATGAGGCGCTACTAGTGCTTTTTATAAAGTTGGAAAAAAGACTGTTTTGACATCTTAAAAAAGAAACAGCCTAACTAAAATATCTGGCATTACCCCTTCTCTCAAAGAATAACTTACTGAAGCTGGCTACAAAATACGTGTTGTTGCTATATAAAAACACTCAATGAATCACGCTTGCGTATGGCTACAACAACCAATAAGCCATCAGAACTGCCACCAACTAACACGGCCTTTTATCAACATTTTTTTAAGTGCGTAAATAATTTCATTTATCATTCAAAGTTTGATTTTATTTTTATCATAAAATTTTAGGTGCATGTATCAGCTAAGAATTTGGTTCTGTTTTTCACTGTGAACCCATGAACCCGGGCCTCCCAGTTCTTACGGATGCCGGGAATTTGTCCCGTCTTCCCCCCCCCCTCTCTCTTGTCGAGCCGTAAGATGGGGTCTAATGATCCCCAATTTTATGGTTCGATCTTGGAAAATGAGAATTGGAATCCAGTCTTTTCGAGCCAACAACCAGTGCTCCAATTTATAAGACAAGGTTCAAGCTTATGATGAATTCAAAATGCACCTGCATTGAGGAGGGGCTGAAATGTTGTGATGAGTGTAGCTGTAACTAGTGCAAAAATCAAAAATAAATTATTCAACAAACGGAGGTGTCTAAAAATGAAGAAGAAGAAGAGGTTGAATCGATACTAAAAACAAGATACCTACTTTATTATAAGGATTGAAAACAACCAATGAAATTCACTCTGACTGATTTGTGATTTCTGCAGAAACAGACCTTATATTTTCAGCTACAAAATCGTACCTACCTACTAATCGGCGTAAAAACGACAAGCCGCTGACGTCGGCCGATCCCGTGCACGCTGCGCTTGAATTTTCAAGATTTCGCGATTTTGTAAAATTCATAGCAAAAAAAATACATCGGAGATAAAAGATTTTCACTTTAAAAACTTTTTGAATGTTTCTTCTTTCTTTGCTTCGCAGCATGTATGTAGAAAAAGTTGAAAATAAAAAAGTTTGTCGCTTAAGTAGCGTTTTCCTAGCAACGCACATTTTACGCGGCGTAGAACGTAATACGGCCGACGCAACGCAACATCCAATTAGCTGCGTAAAAGTGTTTTCCTAGGATTGTCAGTTGCGTCCCGATCGTCGCGATGAGTATATCAACAAAGAAATTAGCTTTGGCTTTATTATTATTACAAGATGAAATTTTTCAAGAAGAGATTGATATAATAGCCACGATTCATGATAGGAGGACTCGAAATTCTGCTAGTCAATTATTATTTCAAAAAAGAAGAAGCAAAAAGAGCATTTACTTATATCCGCATAAACATCTACTTGTCGACGAAGTGTTAAATCATAATTTAGAGTTACAAGCCAGCAATTCTCATTCCTCCTTAATCGTTTGGGAAAAGATTAGAGTAAGGAACCATGTAATCGTGTGCGACATCCTATTTCGCCACCTGAAAAACAAGGCCTAACATTGGGATTGGTGCTATTTTTCTAAATAAAAAATCTCTCGACCACTAAAAAATATCGTAAATCGCCATTTCGGATGCCCCCTAAGACAGTTAATAATAATATAGGCATTTTATGTGGTTGTACGCCAAAAAAATTTTTTTTTAACATTTCATAGGCCATTTCGCGCCACTATAATGGAACGAGAATCATTAGGCGAAAAATAATGACTTATGTTCCCGTACTTTTTCAATTAATAATTCCTCCATTTTTCTTTTCCAAACCACAAGCACTAACCAGTCAAAAATACACAATTTTGAACAAAATTGCTTGCATACCCAGCACGCGTGTGAGGAAAGTGTGGATTTCCACAAATCAACGACAAGCGGAGATACGCGTGTTATGTGACGTCAGCGTACCGCGTTGGCTATACCGTACCGTGTGATCGAGATCGATAAAAAGACACGTGAAATTGAACACCTCAGTTTCAGTACTGCACACGCTAGCTCGTAACGTGACGTACCGTGTCGAAGGTGTGTTCCCGGCTTTAGTCTCATGTACCCTTGTCCTATGACTTGCTTTATTTTCTAATATTTGTGAACATACTGCCGCTACTTCCCCCTCTTTTTTCCAATCGGAAGAATCGGTAGTGCTGGCACATTGAATTTTTTAACACTATACGAATATTATTTCTCGAACTAAAATAAAATTGGCGGAAAAAACCTAGTCAGTGTCGGTACAGGCCAGTACAGGGTATTAAGCGTGTTGTGTAAGCAAAGAGTGTGCTTCAAAGCTCAAATTCGTATTAGACGCAATGAAGTAGAAAGAGGTATGGAATGAGCTTTGCGTCATTCAATTGATTCCAGAATGAGATAGCGCTGGTAAGGGCAAGAAATATATTGGATCTCCCATATCTCTCTTTCTAACCCTGAGTGAGATAGCGCTAGTAAGGGCAAGAAAATCTCATGAATCTCTCCTGTTCTCTCACTCTAATGTTGGCCGCAAAATATATATTGAGTAGATAGGCGAAGGGCTATTCCAACCTTCTTACTACTTCATTGATTAGACGTCCCGGTACGCGCCACCTCGTAAGATGACGTACCTACCTACTATGTCGAAGGTGTGTTCCCAAATTAATATTTGTAGCTCGGCTGACGGCTCTGTATCAAATACTTCAATCTATATTTTGTTCTCACCAGCTGGGTTAGTCATCTCACTCTAACAGTTAGAGACAAGCTCACTAGACTCAATAAGCTTCAAGGTCTTCCAGTTCGTCCGAGACAGGGGAAAGGTTGGCAAGTATTGTTCGTCGATTTTTATCTGACACTTTCCGTATGAGGAGCGAGGGGGTCAAGTATATGGCAAAAATAGGTATGACGTCAGGTGACCATAGGCGTTCTAATTTAGGGTGCCACCAGCTCACATTCCTTTGAAGTATCAGATTAAAATCGACGAACTTTACGGCTTTGAGCGTCTAACTTCCCCCTCAAGTCCTCTCACGCGATGAACCAGTCTAAGGTCCGGTTTATTCATCTTCAGATAAACTTGCTGGTAACTATCTTCGGTCGGCGGATAACTTGCCGACCAATGGGAATACAAATTGCTTTTTTTATCCGTCAGATTGCATGTCTGACAATTTATCAGATGGTGAATGAACCGGCCCTAAGTAGCGCAATACTTGACACGCATTTCTTATAATGAAATGACTTGTTCAACAGCAGTGTTCTCATCTCAGTCGACTCAGTTACACAGTTGTCTCAGCAAGTCTGGCACACCACAATTCTTGCAATGGTCACATATGCATTATTAGTGGGTAACCACAGATCTCCGTTTTTTTGGGCTTACTATGGGATTGAAGAATGGTATGAGATGAGATAGGGTAATCGTATCGATCGTTTCCATAGAAAACAGCAAACCTATACCCACCTGAGATTCAGTTCACTACCTATATTTGAATAAAAAAAAAAAACAAAACATTTGTTAGTGCAAAATGCCTTTATTTAGAAAAATATACAAAAATAATAATACTGTACCAAAACATGAAGAAAATCATATTTAAATTATTTAATTATTTTTTATATGAACAAAAACATTATTTCAATGTATGGATGAATTAAACACGGGAAAATTAATTTCGACTCCAGTACTTTATAAATAGTCGTATAACATTAAATAACTCTAATTTAAATAACTCGGACATTCCTATCAGTAACGATGATGAATAATACTTAGTTTTCTACGATAACTATCTTTAACACGTACCTATAGAGCCTCGCAACGACTTGAAGAATGTTATCCAGGAATCCAGAAAAAACTTGATTTTCAAAGTGATGGAAAGCTAGCTGAGCAGTTTGGCAAATCTTTCAGTACGACACAAATGAAGCCTTGCTAGTTACTTATTATTAAATTTTACCCAGCTGGAGCAGAACATAACATCATTAATATTTACTTAGCAAAGCATTAAAGAAGTTATAAGACTTAAAAAGTGATTCTGATTTTTTATCGTTCTGAGACTGCGGTTCACCATTAGGTCGGATAATGGAAGAATCTTTGAAGAGTGGACCTTAGCAGGATTTATGGCAAATATCAATAGTAAGCTCACTGTTCAAGAAACTAATACTATGTAATGCATGGAAAATGTCTGGAAGACAACCAGAAGATTTGGCCTTGTTGTTGAACAATATAGAATAAGAGGAGTATTTTGAACTCATTAGAGCTCTTTATCTTTACAGATCTTGCCAGGTTGAGGTAAATGCACTTTCTGGTATGCTATACGCCCATTAGGAAGCAGAATGTCACGATGTCATGAATTGCAAGAAGATATAATAACAGTAAAGAAATGGTCAAAAGTTTGAAAAACAAAACTAAATAAAGACAAATGTACAATTTTTAGCATAGGCACAAATCTTACCGAGCATCCGTAACTATAAGCTTCGGATATGAAGCATGTTCATACTCACTACTTCCAAGGTTCCAGGACCGTTCTGCTGAATCGATACTAGAAATGTATAAATCATTGATTCGTCCGAAACTTGAATATCAGCCTAGTAGAGATAATATGGAAACCCCTAATTATGTAAAGGACATAGAACTTCTAGAAAAAATGTCAGAATTTCAACTAAGATCATCACAAATCTCTCACAGCAAGATTAATGAATCAAGACTTACTGGCCTCCAGTTGACAACTTTAAAAGTAAGGTGAACTTCCATCCAAGTAATAATGTTAATATCAGTAGACGTACCAAAAAATAAAAGAAAAAAAAGTCAACTAAACTGCCAAAAAAAAACTTCCTGGTAAATCTTGTGGTAGAGGTATCATTGGAATGCCTTATCAGTGCGGTGTCAGTCAACCCATGTGTTAATCTTTTAAAAAACTCGCTGAAGGACTCTTACTAATTTGGAATATCTTTTGTCTTTTTGCTTTCATTTCATGATTGAAACACATCAGCAAGTAAAATTGCATTAAATAGACTCATTGGCTTTTTAACCGCGCTTTCTATTGTTTATATGGAATATCAATAATAATATCATTAAAAAAAAATCAAAAACCTTTACAATAATAATACATGTAAGAAAAGTTGAGTCATGAGTGGACTAAAAATATTTTTTTATTTTATTTTCTAACGTAAAATGGTAATTCTAAACCGCAAAAAACTACTCCTTTGAAACAAAAAAAATATATATATAGAGTAAAACAAAATACCAAATGTACTTATTGTTAGGAATAATCTTCAACCAGACCGTCAGCTATGCGCTGTTTCAATTCCCTTTGAGCTAGTTTTTTATTCAAACGATCCTTTAGGTGCACGAATAATTGTCTGGTATCAGCTACGCTGGCCTAAAATACACAATATTTAGAGCCGGTTTATTCACCTCCTGATAAACTGTCAGGTAATGCAATCGGACGGATAAAAACGCTATCTGTAATCCCATTGGTCGGCTAGTTATCCGGCGACCAATGGGATTAGAGATCCGTAAATTTATCTAGCAGATAGTTACCAGCAAGATTATCTGAAGATGAATAAACCGAGACTCAGTCATAAAAATAATTATAATTAAATACTAAGCTTACCTTGATAAGAAAGATTTTAAATTCATCGTTTGAATCTCTAGCTGTCAATTGAATGGTTTTTTCATTGGGGCTTTCTAGAGTCATGTCTGCAGACACCTAAAAGACAAATATATATCTATATCTACTATGCGCCCAAATATTACCCCCCAAACAAAACTATACTCATCAAAGACAAAATGGACATTCTAAATACATATATCGGCGTCCCGTATACAGGGCCGGCCCTACCATAAAGCGAACGGAGCGGGCGCCCAGGCGCCAGGCCTGGGAGGGCGCTCCGACTTGTTCCTTAGTGATAAAAAAGGGAAGAAAGCAAGCGTGTGGTTAGCATGTGATTAGATAGATAGAGACATATCATATTACATAATAATATATAATGTTTCCGTATTTTGAATCGGAGAGGATAGTTGATCTTGGGCAGCTGAAGCTATCTCCACTTGATGTTTTTGACAGAATTTGTAAATTAAAGCAGAGTCTCCGTGTTGGGCCAGATGGCATACCGTTTGTTTTCCTAGAAGGCTGCAGGTTTCTTCTGTCTACTGGTACATATCCAGAAGCCTGGAAAAAGTCCTATGGTATTCCAGTTTTTAAAAATGGTGGAGACAAATTAGACATTGAAAATTATCGAGCAATATCAAAGGTCTCCTTGGTAGCCAAAGTTTTTGAAGGTATTTGTTGCAGATAAAATCACCCCACATTTTAAGAATGTTATTATCAATGGACAACATGGTTTCATGAAGGGAAGATCCATCATAACAATGATCAAAATCCATGCTCGAGCATATACTTCATTCATACATATAAAGGAATTCATTTGCATTTTATTACTATTTAATAGTCATTAACAGGAGCTGAAACCCAGCAGCAGGTAGATCTCAGAGGTAGATAGGGAGATGGGTGGGTTGTACTAGCCCAATGCTCTGCTTTTTTATTTAAAATTGTCAACCCGCTTTTTTTACCTCTATTCTATTTCCTTTGTTTTCTTCAGTATAAGGGGTATATGCATGTAGCCGAACACAGTAAATGAGGCAAATAATGTATTGAATTTTAAGACATTTTTTATATTGGTGAACAGAGTATACGATTCACATACTAGGGGCGCCAAAGTAGGGTCTCGCTCCATCCTAAAAGTAACCTCGGGCCGGCACTGCCCGTATATTTTTGGCGTAAGTTAATCGATGCGGAATCCAATTACATTATGTTCAAATATGTATTTTAATAAATATTCAACGTAGAAAAATGGCCAGGGACCCCAAAATTTGTGGAATAATAAATTTGTGAAGGGACATTATTAAAACTGAGTTTGTTGAGGAAACACTACACGTTCTTTGTTCTTTCATTTTCCAATAAAATCAAGAATATTTTTTGATCTATTCTTTTATTTCAGAAGTTGGATAATTTAGTGCCAAATTTATGGAGGCTCCTTGAGGTCTCCTTGAACCTCAAGAGTCTTCGACGTTTAGAAATGACTTAATAGACTTGTCAAATAGTAACTAAAAAGTGACCATTCTGAACAAACGACCCTCAAGGTCCAAGGACCGTCTATAAATTTTGCCCCCATATGAATAAAACGAAGTCATATGGGTTACATCATTTAAAACTGGAGAACGGCTGAACCGATTGTTATGATTTTTGGATTTGTCTTTGGCCCCGACTAACAGAATTACTATTGAAACGTAGAACAAAATTACAAAATACAAATTGATGAAGAAAATTCATTAAATCCGCAAACGGCGCCATCTCTGATAACCGATACAAAATTAGATTGCGCGGTCCTTTCATAATTGAATAGAAACAAGGTTATGCAAGGTCTGTCCCAGTGGCGAATCTACCGATGTGCCATGTGTGCGGAGCACACAGGCCCGGCCCCGAAAGGGGCCCGTGAGCTCCACAGCGAAACTGCAAAAAAATGTTTTATGCACGAGCGGGCGGTAAGTACTACTTACCGCCCGCGTTTGCGGGCGGTAAGTTGAACTTACCGCCCGCTATTTTCGTGTCATCAAACACTCTCGAATATTGGTGGAGGCCACTAGTTCAATTTAATCCGTGTTGTCAACTATGGAAATAGAAATAAAACAAGAATTATAATTTATTATGCACCTCAACAACTATAGTACATAGGTTTAATATTAATAGAATTTAAATATTATTATTTTTTGTTAACATACAAATTAAATATACAGTTATGTGAATTATCTATCACAACACCTCCTTTTCTTATGTGCTTATCAAGAACAACCGTATTTTCTGTATCATTTATCAGAGAAACACGATGAGGTTCATCGTTTAGTTGTCTGGATGTTGTTTGGATCGAAGTCTTACCACTTGTTGAAGGAGTTTGGTGTAAAATTTGGTCTGCGAATTTCAATTTGCTCTCTATGGAGTCCTCGATATAACCCTCGGCAACCGTCGAGGATTTCCAACCTCCATGTCTTTTGAGAGCTAATACTTCTACGCCGCTATTTGCAAGAAGCGTCGCAGAAGTTCTGCGAAAAGCATGTCCAGTGTATTGAGAAGGATTTTGCAAATTTAAAAATGTGGCAATTTGTGCTGGCCATTTTCCTATGGTATTCTTTCCTACAACTTGATTAGTGCAAAAGCCGTTTCGAATTTTTAAGAATAACTTGTTTGATTTTGCGGTTTTTTGTCGTAGTTCGATATATTTCCTACAAATCTCCAAATAATCCACTCGCTGGTCTTCTTTACCAGTGATGGTGAAACTCCTTTGAATATTGGTTTTTGTATTGGGTATTTTAACAAAAATGAACGTTTCCTGATTATCTATGTCTTGTAAAGTCAAATTACATAATTCCTCCCTTCTGCATGCTCCAGCTACACCAAATATCATGCCTATCTACGAAAAAACAACAAATTAATTCTTTGCATTGTTAAAAACACAGGTAAATTAACTCACTTTCAAAATCAAGTATCTATCATCTGGTGCCTCCATTAGAAACCTGTATAAATCCTCCTTTGTGAAAACTTTAGATTTTTTCGGTGTATGGCCAACGTTTTTTCTTTTCAGAAAGGCAATTAAAGTTGCGTATTTCGAAATGTCAACATTTTCCTTCAGAAAAAGTGTCGCCTTCAGCATGGAATACTCAGCCCATAAGCTTCCAGGTGATTTTAACTTCTGATTTCGGTGTACAAAGTATGCCAAAAGCACTTTCTCCGAAACAGCCCAGTTTTTGTCAACGCACCACTTCTTAAAGATTTCAAAGGTTTTTTCGTACCGTTGCCTTGATTTTTCCGGAATCACAGCGTCACAACCAATATTCCAAGCATTTTCCAGTTCACTATCACTATTTTCACTCATATTTCTCCTTAAATTTCAAAAAAGCGTATTTGCAGCTTGCAACCGTATTGTTTGAAAGCGAGTTTTGCGTAACAACACAAATAAACAATTTGAGAAGCACCATAACAACCATACCAACCATTAGAAACAAGTAGTCCAGCCAACTATAATAATAATAATAATTGTTATAGATAATGTGCGGTGGTGGATAACCATGGAAATAAGAGTTGTGATTTTTGGAAGCGTTGCAAATACAAAAGTTGCCAATTTTTCATTGGGAACGCGCCTTTATAGGAGGAAGACAATTCTATTTTTGAAAATGTCAATTGGATGCCATTCTATAAATTAAGTTTTTGAACTGGAATAGCCCGATCGTGCATAAAACGTAATAAGTATTTTGGGCGTTAAGTGTCGTTAACCGCCCTCGAATATTGAAGACCTCCGCTACGCGTCGGTCTTCAAACAATCTCGGGCGGTAAACGACACTTACCGCCCTTAATACTTAAATAACTATTAGAAGATAATAGACCTAAAATTATTAATTGTGTTTTTATTTTTTTGCTGGTATAATAATGATTAATATATGAACAATAGTCTATCTACGGGAAAAAAAAAATACCGGCAGCGGTATAGTAATTTAATTCTGACTTGAAACACTGCATTATACAAGGATGTTTCAACATCACGTCGCTCTTCTTCTATTAATTTCATAGAAAATCTGTTGTAAGTTTCCCTGTACGTACAAAATATAAGCAGCGACGAAATATCACTACAGTAGCTCAAATTAATAATTCAAGTCGGCACGCGTCTATAGGTTCAATTATTAAGGTGGGCTACTTACGTCTTCCTGGAAACGATGCAGGTGTTTCTGTGACTAGACTACCAGTGTCATCCCAATTTATACACATCTGGCAAGTAAACATCTTACATGTCAATTTTAATGCGATAGAATGAAATGCTTAGAAAAAGTCTAAGGTTAAATAGAGAACGGAAACGATCTCCCCTGTTCCACCTCCAGCAAAAAGCGCTGGGAATGCTAGAGCGTGGAAAGGGGAAATCGTTTTCGTGCTCTATTCAACCTTAGACTTTCTCTAGACATTTCATTCTATCGCATTAAAATTGGCATGCAAGATGTTTACTTGCCAGGGTGTATAGTATTTACTATTTTATTCCACGTATTATTCAGTTGTGTTGTTTGATATTGATCATCACCATTCAAAGAAATGAAAATTATGTGACGCCCATGTTTTTATTTGTTTGATGTGTGGCGACTAGATGTTTTTCAAGGGTTTCAAGTCGGATTAAAAATACTATACATTGTTATTCTTACTACTTTCGAAAATGGTGAATTCACAATTCTTTGCCTGTACCTAAAAAAAATATTTAGGAGTGTTTTTTGAACGACTTTTGGGTTAGATTGGGTAAGTAAAAAAAAATTCGAGGACCTGTAATGGGCCCGCGGAGATTTTGGCACACAGGCCTGGAGCTAGGTTGATACGCCACTGGTCTGTCCCAACGACCCAACACGTCAAAAAACGTCTCGTGAACGGTTTGGAAACCACTCTGTGTACAAAGGACCCCGCACACTTCTTATGGGATTTTGGTTGAACGCGGAATTTAACCAAAATTTGGTATTTGTATATTTCCCTCCTAAGTAAAGGTTCTCATAAGTATAAACCGATCCTATGACTAGTTCAGGATATATACGGGGGGTTTCTAATACCACCTTAGGCTACCTAAGTACCTACCGGGTGTCTACGAGATCAGTTTCGCGCTGGCATTTGCTGGTTTTTTTTTCGAT